TCCTGAATAACTGCTCAGTTCTTTCAGACTCTCTCCATTTAGTCTGAGCTGCTGTTTCACCATGTTGGCTTTCCACTCTGTGTGGCACAGATCTGCACACAGATGAAAGCTGATCCATATTTCAGCTGATTCCTTCTGCTGATTTTTGCTTTTGCTTCACTTGCAGCAGATAAACTCAGAAAAAACCTGGTGACATTGTGGCCCTTTGCTCTGAGACATTTCCTACATGACAGGAAAGTGATGCACAGAAACACATCCTTCGAGTCATGCCTGTAGTATGTTTTTTTAAAATGAATATCATGCTACAGTTTTATTAAAAAGCGCATGAAAATTTGGAACATTAATAAACTTAGTGAACAAGGATGAAGTTTCTACAAATGTTCTCTTTCAGTTCTTGTGCACAAATCAGGACTTGTTCTGGGTCCCATTCTCTTATCAGTGCCTCAAAATGAGATTAAAAAAAATTAATTCTGCGTAAGAATAAGATTATTGTTTTTGAACAATTACTACTCTATATTCTGTGTATAGTCTGTCTGTGGATAGATGTGTGCCAGCAGCTGGAGTGATGCTCGTTTGGTGATGGGGCATCCCTTCCTTTCTTCATCAGCTGCCAATCACATGCTTTGAGTGACTATGTCACTTCACATTATTTGAGCACTACTGTTGGTCTGGAAGGACCTGACCTTCCACATTTTCCAGACTTTACCCTTTTATAGGACACTCAGGAAAGGCCTGCTCCTGCTGGGATGGGAAGAGCCTGCTGGCAGTATAACACTAACAGGGAGGCTGTGGCCAGTGTCCATATTCAGGGCTGCCCTAAAGCCTGTCCTTGTTATCTCATGCTGTGTTTGCAGCAGAGTTCTAGATCACTGCTGTATTTGGTGCCTGACTCAAGTCAGGAGATGAGAGGGCAGCAGCAGAAACAGGGCCCAGACCCACAGCAGCTCTCGCCTGGCTCCTCTTGGTGCTCCCCAGGGTACAGCCCCTGCCGAGGCCCGTGCTGGCAGAAGTGCCCGTGGCCGCAGGAGCAGCGGCACCTGCGCCACAGCCTGCCAGAAGCGACGGCTTGGCAGCATCTGATGAGCATGGAAGTCTTCGGAGTGAGGTGCCACAAGCCTCTGGACAGGTGTAGACCAGGCCTGCGAGCTGGGAGACAGGAATACACCAGCTTACCGCAAAAGCCTTTGGCAGCAGAGCCAGCAGAAGCCAGGCTGCTGAGGTTCTCCTGCTTCCTGGGGTGATGGAGAGGACACCTGCAGCGTGAGGCAAAGGAAGGATGAGCACCCTCAGCCAGGCAACTCTCTTGCTCATAAGCATGTCTTCAGTCAGTTCCTGAGTTAATGAACGTGTGAATTGTTGAAGCAATACATTGAAAGATCAGACTAATTTGTCAAAACTGGATTGAACCCTGGTTTGACTTTTACCTAATAAGCTCATGAAATAATGCTTGAGTGACAGAGTACATTGCTCTGTGAATTTGAGAGACCCAAATACAGGATGGCAATATATAAAATAATTCCCTGCTGAAACTGGAATTGCACAATACAGTAGTAACAAAATAGAAAGTGCTTCAACCATATTGTTGAGAGATTAAGGATAGAAGGAAACAATGGATTGATCAGGAACTCCTTTAGAAAGTGTATGAGCAGCTTCAAAATGAGTCCTGACACTGTCAGCAGATCGGATACAGGCTGTGGATCTGTGCTGAGGCATGCTGGAGTGCTGGGTACTTCCTGCACACTCCACAGAGCAGTACAGTAAGTGAACATTTGTGTTAACTTTCATTTTGTGGCTCTGCTCCTCTCCTCCCTGAGCAGATTTCCTAAGGTTCCAGGAAGGCTTCAGCTTTGGCCAAGGCAATAGGCATGGACTGAATATGAGGAAGCCTGCTGGCAGCTCCTTTGGCACTAAAACACTGGCACCTCAAGGAACGACAGCTGCTCCAAGGCCATGTTGAGCTCTTGCATCTTGGCACACATCAGCTGTTCAAAAGCAGGGATGCACCAACATCACAGCACCATGGCTGTACTGCAGAGGAAATGTGTTATGTGGTTTTGGCTAAATTTCATCTGAATATGTCCTTCTTAATGGCAGACTTGATAAAAGCCCATATTTAAGGACAGTGAATTTATCTTCTTTCTAGAGATGATCACAAATAATTTGACAAATACACATTAATGGTGTTAGAAAAGATTTCTTGCTTCATTCTGTTTTGTTCTACTCTTGGTATGAGTGGGATTTCATTATCTAGTGACAATGGACATTTTTACAGACAAAAGCAAGTGAACGAAACAAGAGCTGGAGAAATGGAAACATTCTGTCTCAAAGTAACAGCTAGGCTATTTGAACAACCAGCCTCCATCACCACTGATAGTTTGTCACCTAGATTTCATTAACCAAAGTATGCTGCTGTAATTAACAGTGTAACATTTACAGTTTTGAAGTAGGAATCTAATTGGTTTTAAATTTTTTTTAGTTACCTGGTTACTCCTAATCATTTGTAACTATGAAATATCTTAAAGCATTTGTTGAATTTTGGGAAGCAATAAACAAGAGAATCAATGACAGAATCCCAAAATTAACTACCCTTATATGTGTTTACTTTTTAAGATTAAAAGGTGTGGAAATACAATAAAAAAAAACCTTAAACTTGGTTAAGAATGAATCAGTTTGATATTTAAGTGCTTGGGACAAAGATATAGAAAGAATTGTATTACTCTCTAAAAAGGCAAAACACCCAATAAAGGTAATCCTCCAGTTAAGCAGATTGGGAAAAAAACATTGAGAGACTGTGATGCCACCAGGTACCACAGCACCTGCTTGAGTCTAACCAGGTCTCCTTTAAAAAAAGGTGTAAAATATGTTGCAATGCCAAAGAAATTATTTAAAGTAAGCAGAATGAAATATATATTTATTTTTTTCCTCTTGCAACTGACAACTTTTTGTGACTGAGGCTATTATTTTATGGGATTTGGAGCTGAGGAGCCAGCCATATTTTCTAAACATCAAGACAGCAACTGTAGGCTCTGCAGTGTAAACAGGAATACAGTTTTAAGCATTCAGTGTTTGTAACACAAGCGTCTTCTGATAAATTCTCCCCCTGCTGAAGCAGAATGATTATCAGACCAGTGATGGAGAAGATACTTGGTAGAAAAATATTGACTGCAATGGACTGCAAACTTCACTTTCAGAAGTGATAATCCTCTGTTGGAGCAGAGAGATTTGTAGGTGTTCGATACTTTCGAATTCAAGGCAGAGATGTCAAGTGACACGCCTAGGAAATTAATTTTGAAGAACTTTTTTTCTTTGTAAAAACATGGAGCTGAAATTCCAGCCCAGCAGTTCCTGCCAAGATGTCTGCTTTCAATTGGTAGAAAATTCTCAGCTTCAGCAGGTGAGCACAGTGAATGAGCAATGAGCAATTCAGTCACAAATCCCCAAGTCAAACATTGAAAACTAAACCCTGGAGTTATCTCTAATTTTAATAATAATTCAGAGGGTTTAAAAAAAGATGCTTGTGAGCAAAACTGCAGCATTTGTGCTGCAATTTTCCAAATTCTTGATGCAGCTGTTAATAACCAGAACATACTGTTTCTAATTTGTTGTAAAGGAACAAAACTGCTCATGAAGTTGAAAGGCAATGACTTAAACATCCCAATGGAGAATCAGACAATAAAAGGGTATTTAAAATAAACCATTATCATAGCTCAACACATATTAGAACAGTCTCTTTATTGTGTTTCTTTTTTCTCTTTACCTGACAGTGTTATTTCATAAGAATAAATATTAACAGGTGAAAGTATCTCTGCTGAGCCCGCAATTTCACATTCCTTGTAGCAGCAGGACCATCATAACCAACTCCTTTCGTGGCTGTTTGTTCCCTGCCCACCCTGCTCCTTCTTGCTGGGCAGCTCACCAGCCTGCAAGGCCACACTGCCCTCCAGAGGAGCTACCTGCCCAAGTGGGAGTCACCTCTTCCCACCTTCTACATCCCCGATATTGCCAGCAGCAACACTGGCTTCAGTAAGGCTCTTCCCAGCTCATCTCCATCTCTGCACAATCTGTGACCTGATCAAAACCTTCTGCAGAGCTAAAATAAGGAACAGGTTTGACAGAAAAATAGCTTCTTTTAAGAGTGGTTGTTTTTCGCTTGAGTCCATTCAACATGTAACCTAGCAAACATCATGATGTGCAAACAGTGGAGAAGTGAGAGCAGGAATAATGTCTCACAATAAATGCTGTATTTAAATAAATGCTCACCAACCACCTGGGGAGTTAAGCTGAACTGCTGTACTTTGCCCCACAGCAGAACTGGAGCTCTGGATTAAAAAAAAAAAAAACAGCATCTAAGCAGTGGTGGCAGCACCTTTAGCAGCTTCAGTCATTTGGGAAATGAACTTGTGACTATGCCCATAACCACAGATACCTCAAAAGCTGACGTTACCCTGAACTTTTATACCCTGAACCCTATTACTGAAGAATAAGGAAAGGCTTACTCTTTTTTTTTTTTTTTTTTTTTTTTTTTTGGAGCTTTTTTTTTTCTATTCTGAGAGCATTTTGGACTAAGGAAGAAGAAATAAAACCCACATTTAAAGAAATTATACTGGTAGATGAAGATCCTAAAGAAGTTTTAAAATGGGCAGCAATAAAATAATTCTGTAAGATGTTATTTTTTTACCTCAAAAAACTTCTATACTTTAAAGTCAATTGATTTTAAACCTATTACTCTAATAAAAGAGAGATAATAAAATCTGTATCACTTACAATAAACTTTACAATAATTATCGCATTATAATAAGCTGGGAAAAAATCTAATATGTAGAGACTTTTTGTGCTAAATCTACCTTAAATTTTAGTAAGCTCATTGTTCACCTGTGTGATGGATGTTTTAGTCTGATAAACAGAATACACTGCTTGGCTTTTAAGCTGATTCAGCAAGAGCTCATACAGGAAGACCGAACACCAACAACAACCTTTCACCTTCAACTCAATAAATCATATCCCATTTAATTCAATTTTTATTCAATGAAATGATGTATAAAAACTTACAAATCTGAGAACTTAACTATACACAAAAAGATGATATTCAGTATACACAGAGAAGAGCTGTGGTTTGTGACTTGCCCTCTCCCACCCCTCCCCCCAAACACACACTGTCTCCATTTATGATGGGGCACCTTTTTCTGTCCACTTAGACCTGTTGGCCCAGTAATTGCTCAGTGGGCTGCACTGCTGCTGTCAGTTTAGGTTTTTAGGCTACCAGCAAAAAATCTGGGCATCTATATAAAACAATAAAAATCAACAACTTGATTTTTAACACAAAGATGCAGTACTGCCAATAGCAGTAACTAAAACTACAGAATTCATCCTTTCAGTTTTTGCAGGCTTTGCCTTGGCTTTCAAAATAACAGGACTCTCATAGAGCAGAATTTCCCAGCCAGCACTACAGATTCATTTTAAAACAACCATGATCACCTGTTGCTAGAACACCGCTTATCCTCCCTCTTAACTCATGCCACTAGACCAAATGAAATCATGGACATTCCTTGCCTGAGTAAGGGAATAAAGCTTTTCTCTCTTCTTTCATCCAGAATGACTCAGAGCTCTCTATAGCTAACAACACAAGCATGTGCTGCACTAGTGATGGTGCAGTGCTCACCAGTATGCCACTTCTCTAGTTTCCTTGGTAGCTTGGGTGACAACACTTACCTTTTGGCTTCTCTTCAACAGGTCAATAAAAATGCACACAGTTCAGGACATTCCAAATTTGGTTAAAAGCAACCTGTGCAATGACTAGCTTTGTCAAACAACTAAAAAACATTCCAGGCTGAATCTGAGAGCAGATGGCCAGTTACTTAAAAAGGATGTGTGCATTTATTTACCTGTACCAAATATACACACAGACACTTTATATATATATAAATCTTTATACATATACAGTATTTATATATATATATATATAAAGATTGCCATCACATTACTATTACAGCTACTTAAGTCAGAATTTGACTAAGTAATGACTTGGCTTGACTCTGAAAGAGATACCCAAAGGCATACTTGGAGGGAAACATATGGCTAAAAGAAAACCAACACCCTCAGCTCTTTTTAACTCAATGAACAGAGGTTTCTGCATTCCTTGAGGAAAAGTTCTGAGGGCTTGTTGGGGTTGTAACCTTAATCAACTTGCATGTGGACTTGTAAAGAGCACGGTGTTTATTCTGCCAGATCTCAAAATGCCTTCTACCAGGGAAACTAAAATACATATATCCTTTGCTTACCAAACTGATACTCTGTTTATCATTACACTCATCATTGTATCTAAATACGCTTTTAAGCAATCTAAATTTTGTTTAAAAACTATTAAATTTGGAATAACTAATACTATCAACATAGTTAGCTGGATTGTTTTTCACATGTTCCTTTGTATTAAAATCAATTTTGTTGTGGTTTGATGCAAGAGCTTTTTGTTTGTTTTGGTGGGAGAGGCAAAGTCCAATTTCCTAATGTGCCAGTACATTTCTGGTTGCTGAAGACAAAGGGTAGGAAGGAGGTTGCTGGAAAAGATGGCAGGGGTAAGTGAGGTAAGAGGTAGGGGGAGGAAAAAATTGATTTAATAAAAAATGAGTAAAGAAACTTTAAAAAATTGATATAGGTTTCACATTCAGTCTAACAACACTGCTTCCTGCTCCTTTTTGATGGAGGCTAACACTGCGTTATCAGTCTCTGTGGCTTCTGTGTCCCCACCACCTAACAGAATGGAGCGATCTTCTTCTAGTGTAAAGACAGAGTTTTGATTTTGGCACGAATGTTTGACTACTTCATTGGGAGTTGAAAAAGTTTTGTCACACAAGTTACATTTGTAGGGCTTGTTGGTCTGTACTAGCATGTTGTCCATTTGACTGCCTTCCTCAAAAGTACAGAGCTCCAGAGTCTGTTTATCCACCATCGTGTACGTGTCCATGCTCTGGTTTAGGCACACGTGTCTGGCAGCCTGGTTAGCCCTACAAAAGCTTTTGTCACAAGTGCTGCACTTGAAGGGCTTGCCCGTGTGTATGTACATGTGCTCCCTCCAGTGGCTTTTCTGAATAAATTTGCGACCACAGATGGAACATTCGTATTTCCGTCTCTTTACCTCCCTCTCTTGATCTGCCTGCTCCAGGTTGTCGATATCTGCAATATCCGAGGGGGGAGGTGTCTCTGACTGCTGCTGCCCATCAATTATTGGGGAGTCTGAGATCTGCTGCAGCTCGCTATCACTAATCATCCCCGCTTCAGGCACTTCCATGGCATCTTTATCAGCTGTGCTGTTACAGAGAGACAAGGAAATATTACTTTCTCCCTGCTGGCTAGATGTGAAGGGAACTCCCGTGTGGATCTGCAGGTGCTCCCGCAAGCTGCTGCGCAGGTTGAACCGGCGACCACAGAGGTGACAGGCATAGTATTTTGGGAAGCTTCCGTTTCTTTTCATAATGCTTGGCTTGACATGTGCTATTGTGAGAGAGGCAGGCTGTTCATCTGAAGAAGATGCTTCCATATTGGCCTCTTCTCCCGAAGGTGAATTATTACCAGCAGCAGATACCAATTCTGGAGATAGAGAAGATGGCAATGGGTCAGAAGCAGACATACTTGTCCGGGTCACTTGTGGCAGATTTGCACCCAACTGTGAGAGCTGTGAGCCTTCAGAAGCCTGCTCTTGGTTCATTCGTGATGTCTGAGGCCGTGGTTCTCGCCCGAGTTTGTCAGTCGCTGACGTAACCTTAGTGGGATGTCTTATCTGGTGATCTGCAATCTGAATGCCATATAATGAAGATGCTAATGGAAAGACTTGATCCGGGTGAGAAAAAGTTCCCTGACTTGCAAGGCTGGCCTCTTGAATTAGTGGATATGCATGCAGAAACTTTATTCCCTGTTCTAGTCGAACTGGGTCAATGAGTTGTGGTGCCATCTTCCCAGTGTACATCAAATGCAAGAGATAACTGAAGATATCTGGCTGTATGTCGGTTGCTTTCAAACGGACACATTCACTGAAAGGTGAAACAAAATTATAAATAAGACATAAGAAAAATATTTTTTTCCAGTTTTATGTTATTTAAGCCTTGATAAAAATAGGAGGCTTCTACTTAAATTCAAAAGACAGAATCTGCAATAAATATTAAGGGAAATGCTTTACTGTGAAAGAGCTAATCTTAGGAGCTACTTGAAAGATGACCTCTTTCCTCAGTGAAGTAACTGGCTTGAAAGAAAAGCAGTCCCATTGAGACCTATACCATTTTAAACTGCTGTTATATTGTAAAGGTGTTGTCACATATTAATATATTTTGTAAACTGCAAAGACATTTTCCCCCTTTTCTTGGCTGGATTCAAACACATCTGTAGCTAAATTACAACCTGTTAGCACAGGACTCTAAATCCACAGTCCAATAAACTTTTCTCAGTATTTAGCCCTGAAAACACCTAATTCATCTGGCAATTGCCTGCTGGTCTTATATGTCATACTACAGTTTACGACTACAGTTTTGCAAACGGGTGGGATTCCGTTGTCCCAAGTGCATTATGATCCAGAAACTATGCAGGACAGGGTGTGAATTCACCCGGGGATCTGATGAGACAGGTGTAACCTGTGGAATACAGGTTCTTTACGCAGCAGAACAGCAGCTTTTTTTCCTTGAATAGGGAGGAAGAAACAGCAGCACCAGTGGACTGCCTGGTCAGCCTAGCAGTCCCCTATTAGAGCACTCAAAGGGAGATGCTTTGGCTGTGATGCCCTCTTCAGCCCAGCAGGACTGAAACCAACACCATCCTCCAGCTCAGAGCGTCCCACATGCATCAACCTTCATGCTCTGGACTGAGACAGCTGCCACTGCTCTAGCTAAGGCTGTATCTCTCTGCAGAAAGTAAGGCAAGGTTCACAGAAGAAGAAAGAAAACAAGGAACATCTTTGTGAGGTCAGTTAGCTAACAGGAGAGGAACTGGGATTCTAATTATTTTTCATAAGTATTTGTAGCTCCTCTATTAAAAACAAACATAAATAAACCACAGAAATTCAGAAATGGACATGATTGTGTGCTGTGGTCTGAATGCTCTAACTACAGTCAGCTACCAAGCTGAGGAGGAAATTATAGCCAATTCTTCCATTTCTTTAGGTGCACGCTTTCTTGAGCTCTCTCTGTGACTGCTTTTGACAGATATATGACTCAAAAGTAAACTTTGCAATGCTGTCTTCCAAAGATGACCATGTGCTCTTGATGGAGCATCAAGACTGATAACATCTGCCTGCAGTCCTGTTTCAGAAGTGCAAATGCACTTCTATCCTAGCAGTTCACTTCTGGCCAAAAACTCTTAGCCAAAGAGTTAACTTTGAATCACTTAATAATCTTTTTAAGTTAGTTCAAATATTTTGGAAAAAGACAAAAAAATCTTTAAAGTCGTCTCACACTTTGGGGATCTTTTCAATCTCCTCAATGTAAGCCTGTGGTACAAAAAAAAAAAAAAAAAAAAAAAAAAAAAAAAAAAAAAAAAAAAAAAAAAAAAACCACCAAAAAAACCCCACTGAAAGAAAAGTACCACAAACCCTTTATTTTTCACCATTACATAGTATTCTATTATTTAATTGATGATAAACTACAAAGAAATGAAACACATATACCTCTTTTGTAAGTTTATTTCTCAAAACCTCCTAGCAAGTACTTATTGGATTGTATGTAACATTACACAATATCAACAACAGTGTCAAGACAGAGCAGAAGATAGTGACTGGGGGAAGGAAAGTGCATGAGAAAAGACAGGATCTTTGAAGTATTCAATTATAGAAATTAAATTTTCTATGCTTTTTAAAAACAAAGAACTTGTGCTAAATTATCAAATTAGTGTTAATGAATCACAGTTCAACTTTAATATGTTTTAAAGTGAGGTTCTAGTTTGCAGTTAAGACTGGATTCCATGCTCTTTATGTCATAACAAGAAGCAAAAAGAACACTTTGTTGCTACACTTCCTTAGCTTAGTTAACTGAACAACATTTAAACTGTGAACCTTTTTAGAGTTACCTGGTTTGATGAACAAACAACATCTTGAAGTAGTTGGAGAAAGAAGCGAGGACAGATTTGTGTGCCTTGAAGTAGACATCCCCAATGGCAACTGTGCAGTCACACAGGAAACCGAACTCTCTCTGAGCATTTAGCTGCTGCAGCAGAATAAGTCCATGGTTGGCCAAATCCATTTTTTTATGCTCTGAAAAGCAAATGACCTGCATGTAAAACTTAACAGTAGATGCACAGATGCAACAGTAGCTGTCTCTTAAGAGATATTTTCTCCAATATCCAGATGCCATACTTCAGTAACACATCTTAATCCCAAATTACTGTATAAAAGATACCTTACCATAGGCAAGGATTTTTCTTTCATGATGGGAAATGTGATTCACAAAGATGTGAGTGATTTGCCAAGGCTTAAAGAGCAAAGGAGAACCAGGACCAAAGTGTTCTGGAAAGGCATGGTGCGGGTACTTGGATACAGAGATATAAATAGCTAAGGAAGAGGAAGATATATTAACAAGTAGTAAAAACACCTATATGAAGTGGGAAAAAGGAAGTGTTTTGGTTGCCACTTGTTAGTTCAAATAGGAAAATTGATTTTCCTTTCTGATGTCAGTCAGACTCACCCACACAAGTGGGAGTGACACAACCCAATAAAAGACAAGATAGATACTTTTAATCTGGATTTTCAGCGTCTCTGTATATCTTTTACCTAGAAGTTATGGGTCTATCCAGCTGAATTCAAGCCCAGCATTAAATAACTGAACATTTGTGATGGTTGTGCCCTCTCCTGGGAAATACCAGCCAGATACATCCCTGAATCTTCCCAGGCTCAAACAGTGAATTCATTCTAGGTATTGGCAAGCCCTCTGGACTGTCAATACAGAGGGGGCCAACCTTTTCACCTAATAACTATTCATCTATTTATTGAGACCAGCCACAACAGCATTTTTAAGAAGTCTGCATGCCTGCTTAGAAAAATCAAGAAACTCAAAGGGTGAGAGGTGCAGTTCTGTCCATGGCTGGCCATTGGCCACCCACCAGGTAGGATAACCAACGGTGAAATGTGGCACTGAACCGAGGCCCCCTAGGCCAGGGCTTCCACAGCCCCTCACCTCCTGGGCACCTCCTTGTACCAGCTGCTGGAGGCTGCCCACAAAGAACTACCTAAGAGCTATAAACATCTCTTAAGGATTCAAGGGCAGTCTTGGAAGCAAAAATTAGTAACTTTGAGGGAAAAAAATAGACAGGAAAACACATCAGGACAGTTACCCATGGCTGGATGGATGAATATAGGGCTAGTAAGATCAGCAAGCGGAAACAAATTTAATCAAAGCAAATAGAGCTTTGGACAAAAGTGAAAGTATGAAGCAATGTAAATCTGTACATAAACATACAAAACAACAAGAAAATACAACAAAATTTCTGGCCATGTAATGCCCAGAACAGAACAGAAAGAGAACGTGAAACGAGAAGTGGATCAAAACATTTATAAAAAGTCTTGGGTGTTTTCCCCTCTGAACTTACAGCAAGTTACCAGAATTTAAGTCAGGTTCAAGCAGCTAGTTTCTTTTATACACTATGAGCATGGCTTTTTGGAAAATAGAACAGAAATGTATTCCACATATGCCAGTATGTTTAGTCACTGAAGAAGCAAGTATTTCTACTTGCTGGACAGGGAAGAACTCCCTCGTATTTCAAGCAATAACCAGGCTGACCAAATGCATTCCTTTGCATTCACATGAGATCAGAACTCACTGGAGACAGGGGTGTAAAGACAAAGAAAGAAATACAGTGTAAGATACAGCTGATTATTTTCTTACAGTAAATACGAGAAAAAGAAGCTAGGTTTCAGCTCTCTTTAGGTACATATTCTCCTCCCTAAACTAATGTTTGGATAACTAAGTCTGTACATACAATATGCTAAGATTCTCTCTCTCTCCCTCCACAAGAGGAAATACTTGCTGTCAGAAGGAACAAAAATCATGTTTGGTGTTATTTAATCCTGCAAGATACCCATTGTGGGTGATGTTACAGAAAACGCTACATTTATTTTTCTACCTTTAATTTTGATTATTAACGTGTTCTACATTTTTAAAAATTCATCTGGTTTGCACTTGGACAACAAAACTTGCCAATCAGAGCAAACCACCAATGTGAAGGCACTCCAAGCCAGACAAGCATTCTTTCTACTTATTACCATCCCAAGTGTGTTTAGTTTGGAGTTTCACTTTTACCCCAAATAGCAAGCCCTTCCTTAAAGACCTGAATTGAACTTAAAAAAAAAAGATACATGTGCACAACATTGTGTTTTGCATGTATCTGGATGATATCTAAACGCTCTAGTTAAAAGCACTGCAGTAATTACACTCCAAGGAAATGACAGGGCAGATGAAAAGAGCGAGCGAGGAAAGCACTTTGCACATTATAGGTATGCGTGCGCTCAGGAATTTTACCCTCGGTTAAATGAAGTGGTGATTAACACCGGCAAGGCTGTATTTCAATGCTGACCGATTCCACAAGTGTGTGAAATACTTGTGCCCTGCAACCCCGTGGGGACAGCGCTTCCCGGGCCGGCAGTGGAAGTTACCTAATCTGCGCAGCGCTGGCCGAGAGGCCGGGCGGGGCCGAGCCCGCTCGGGCAGGGCGCTCGCTCCGGAGACACCGCAGGGCAAACGGGGCGGCGCAAGCCCAGGGTAACACTGGGGAAGCGCCGCGGGAGTGGGCCGGGTGCGGGCAGCCAGCCGGGCCGGCAGGGAGCAGCTCGGGCACGGCGCTTCCCGCCCTGACCCCGCACTCTGGGCAGCGAACCTCGACAGCGCCGAGCCCGCGGCGCCGCTCCCGCAGCGGCGGCAGAGGGCACCGGCGGCGGCAGCTGCCCGCCCGGCCTTCGCCTCAGCCCGGGCGGCGGGCGGGGACCGCGGTGCGCCTTCCCCGCCTCCCGCCCGGGCGCTCCCGCCTCGTCCGGCCGGGGGCGTGTCCGGCCGCGGCCCGCTCCATGCCGGAGCGCGCTCGGCCCCAGCGCGGAGCGGCCGGCGCCTCCCATTGGCCGCCGGGGCGGAAGGCCGGGCGGCCGCGCGCCGCTCTCACTGGCTGGCCCCGCCCCTCCCGCCGGCCCCGCCCGCCGCCCCCCCCGGCGCACGCCACGCGCGCACGGACGGGACGGAGACGGCGCGCGAGACGCAGCGCGAGCGGAGCCGCCAGGGCGCGCGAGACGGGAAGAGCCGCCGCCGCCGCCGCCGCCAGGGCCGGCCCAGCCCAGCCCGCCGGGGGGGGGCGGGGGGCAGGCGGGGCCGCCCCGCCCCGCGCGCGCCGGATCCCGCTGCTGCTGCCGCCGCCACCGCCGCCGCCGAAGGGGGCGGGAGGGAGGCAGCGCGGGCCTCAACCGGCCGAGCCGAGCCCCGCGCCGGGCGGCACCGGCCCCCCCCCCGGCCCCCTCCCTCTCTTCCTCTCTCTCTCCGCGACCCACCCACTCCCCTCCGCCTCGGCCCGGCCCTCCCCTCGGTGCGCACCCATCCCCCCCCCCGTACCGTGTCCCGGATGGAGCCGCCCGGCCCGGCCCGGTCCGGCCCGGCCCGGTCCGGCGGGGATTCACCGGGCAGTTCCACCTCCCGCCCCGCAACCCCCTCGGCCCGCTCGGACCCGGCGGGGCCCGGGGAGCCCCTCACACACAATGCGGAGGTAGGGCCGAGCAGGCCCCGCCGCGCCCCCGCCGCCGCCGCCGCCGCCGCCTCAGCCCGGGCCGCGGCCGGCGCGACGGGGCCGGGCGCACGTGCGGGCGGCGGGGCCGGGCTGCCCCGCGGGGCGGGCGCGGCGCGGCCGGTGCTCGCTCACCTGGGGGGCGTGGGGGCCGCCGGGTGACGCCGCGCGGGGGCCGCCGCCGTCTCCGCGCCCGGCAGAAGCAACAACGGAGTCAGCGCGGCGGCGGCGGCGGCGGCTTTTCCTGTCCGGTTACGTTCGGGTCACATGACCGGGAGCGGAGCACAGAGGCTGCGGCGAGGAGCCCCCGCCGTGGGGGAGGGGAGGCGGCGAGCGCTGTGGCGGCAGCGGGAGACACCCAGCCCCCGCCCCTCCCTCCGCGCCCGCCCCACCGCCGGCACCGGGAACGGGAGCGGCCCTCCCGCCTTCCGGGCTCCCCCGGGGCGAAGCCGCCGCTCCCGTCCTAGAGAGGCGCGCTGCCCCTTTAAAACTCCCGGGCGGCGGAGACCGGGGTAGCCCCCCTGCATCCCCCTCCGCCTCCAGTGCTGCGGGATAACGGGGATCGGGGCTGCGATGGGATGGGGTGGGATGGGATGGGGCGGTGCTGTGCCGCGCCCGCCGCCGCCTTCCCGGCGCCCGTCCGGCCTCGCCGTGGCGGCAGAGGCTGCTCGGTGCCGCCACCGGGGGGCCCCGAGCGGCTCCCGCCGAGCGGTGCTTGGCGGCGGGTGTGGGATCGAGGGATGGATGCCGCCGGGTGCTGCCCTCGCGCCTGCTGCCGGGGAGGAGTGACGGGCGCAGGTGCGTCCCGGCGTTTCTCGCGGAGTCGCCCGGGATGTGGGAGACGGGGACGGGCCGGCAGCGGCGGGACGCGGTGTCCCGGGCCTATCGGGCACAAACTCTGAGAGCCGGTGCCCTCCTCCTCGTCGCCCTGGCTGCTCTCCAGGTGTCATTTATAGCAAGTCTCGCTCCGGTGCGTCGGGAAGGGGCGGCGTGGGACCGTTCTCTGTGAAACTGTCCTGGGCACGCCGTGGCTGAGCTGTCAGATGGGAGGTTACAAGTTCAGTTGTCAAGAAGAGTGATTCAGTGTACAAACGTGGAGAGGCTGGGTCTGCTTGCGGTCTGTTCAGCTGGACGCAGGTTATGTGAAGCGAGTATTGCCTTTTTAAGGGATGATATAGCTGCCATGTGTAAAGCGCACATCTGCAGCTTCCCACAGTGGCAGATCTGGTTGTGGTGGAGTGCGGAAAGAAGGTGGCCGTAGCAAGGCCTCGTTTTAGCCAAATCCAAGGCATACTGTAGAATAATCCATGGATGCTTATAAAACCACATAAAGAAATACACCAACAGACATACCTGGAAATACATGTATGTCCGCAATACATGGAAAAAGTTGTCGGTCTTGCGGAAGTTACTAAAAGCTGTTGGCGTGGAGCAGGGATGCTGTCTTGTACAAGAGGCTGGGAGGCCCCTGGATGTGATTTCTCCAGGCAGGGGATCAGTCCAGGGACAGCTGGGATACATCGTCTAAGTGAAGCGGGGGCATGGAGAGTACCATTTTCAGAGAGAAACTTTGTTGTTGTTGTTGAAAGACCTTGTGGGAAGATGTTTAGCGAGCAATAGGTAAAGGGGGTTCCTTTGCACCTCCTGTCCTGGAGCTCTGCTCCTGCTGTCCTCCAGTGTGCTTTTTGTTGTTCATGGGGAACATGAATGCCACAATGCCAACTGTCTCAGGTCCAGATGATTATTGCCTGTTTTAGGGTACTTATTTAAGCAAGCATTTAGGGGCCTAGCTGTACCTGGGATGTTGTTTCCATGGTAATTAAATAAGATATACTATGGAAAAAAAGGCTCAAACTTTGAGCTTTGCATCTTGACAGCAGGTGTGCTGATGGGGAGGAAGAGTCTTGTATCTTGTCTGGTTTGTAGATCCACAGATGACTGCAGCTACCTCAGGCAGTTGTTAGTTCTACAGGATCTAAATTGATAAAGGATTAGACCAGTTTTATGTGAGTCTGTCTCATTTAGCCATCTCCCACTGAAATTTATGGATGTCTTTATAGGCACAGCTTGAGTCTTTGCATCAAATAGCTCATGAATATTAATTTATTTACTCAAATTAAACTGCGTTTGAAAAGCACAGGTTTTTAAGACTAGTGAAGTCTTAAGAAATCCCAACAAACCAACCCCAAAACCCAACAACTTTTAATTATAATGGAGCTGAAAGCGGTCTGCTGCTGTTCCAGTACTTAGAATAAAGCATCTGAACAGAACCTAATCTTTAAGACCCATCTCGAATAGCTGAGATCTTAAAAACATGTCCATTGTAGTTCAGCACAACTCTCTGAGTTCTGCTATGTGAGCATGTGGCAGAAAGTTTATAGAGTGTATTTAATCAGTCTACTTGGCAATTTTTCCCCTGAATGGTTTCCCTTGCATTTCAGTTTTGCAAGCTAAATACAAAGTAAAGAGAGTAGATAGGCATTTGAACTCAAGTCACTTAGTGTTTGATGATCTATCTCATTCTACTGGAAAATTTTGAAAAAGTGGTATAATTTTTAACTGAGTGGGCTACTTAGGAAAACCAGTGTGTTTCTGGCAGATACCTGGCAGGCTTCTTTTGGCCTCTTTTTCTCTTTCATGCTGCACTTGCTTGCTTCTGTGTTGGCATTTGTGTGGGATTCTCCTCTGCGCTGTCTCTGAAACTGGAGAAAATTTAACTTTGCTATGGTTTATTTGTATTATTAGCAGATCATAATTCATCTGTAAGTCACCTTTATTGGGACTGCAATACTTGAATCCAGCAATAATGCTGTTTCTAATACTGTTGGATTCAAGGCCTGTTGGAATCTGTAGAAGGATGGCTGTGTTGAGTGTAATGTTGCCAAACCTCAGACCTTCAATACTGACTGACACCTGAGACGTGTCACCTGTGTCACAGGGAGTGATAAGCATTCACCTGATGAATTTGGGACACCCAACTTATCGTGTGAATCTAAAAAGTTACTCTATCTCTTCTTCAGATTTTTGGCTTTGTTTGTTTCTTACGTTACAATCCATGCACCTGAAATTGTAATAAAAATGTATTCATGTCTCATTAAGTGGCATTACTTAATTGCTTTTAGTCTTTATGCACTGGCTTTCCTGCCCGAGTTTGTAGAGGTATTTGATTAGGATTTCTTTCCAACTTTTATGACTTTTTGAAAGGACTTTCTTTTGAAAGATACTGCTACACACATCTGAGCACATTCTTAGTTAGGTGTGATGCTGCTGATGACAGGATCAGTCCCTAGGTTTTGGGTTTTATTTCGGTCTGCATGTACTTGGATTAGAGGTAGCATTTTGTGTGATAAGGTCATATTTTACATTGTAAATGAGCATGCTGCTGATGATATAAGTGTTAATAGGATGACGAAAGTGTCTGCTAATATGAGTAAAAAGTCACTTGAGCAGTGGGAGGAACTTGATCCAGTCTCAAGTCCTATAAGTGTGTTCTCTTGGATGAATTCAGTTGAAATTTGGAGTGGAATAGCAGATTTTTTTATCACTATAGTCAAAACCTCAGCAGCTCTAGTGATGTTAATTAGGCTCAAAGTGCTAAGATTTTTTGTGAGTTTTCGAATTTCTCAGCATTTTTGAAAAGTAGGAGAGCAGAATCACTGTCCTGAAGAACTCTTCACTCCCTGCTCCCTGCAACGCTGCTGACACACTCTCAGAGGAGTGGAAGCCATGGGGATCTGGGAGTTGTGTGTCCTAAGCAGTGCATGGGAATTGTTCCCTGAATGTGTGGGACCCTATTTCACATGGGTACAACTGTAGTAAACCAAGAGTTTATGTCAATGCTGTAAATCTGTTTTATTAGCGCAGCTGCTATTTCTAACACTTCCACTTTGGATTTATGCTGGCGAGAAGTCTTAGTGGCAAGTGTGACAGCTGCAGGAGCTTCTTCCTAGAACACTGTACCTCTGAGAGTCTCCAAGCTTTTTTTCCTGGACTCTGTCCTCCTCCTGTTAGAATTGTGCACATAGTTTTTCCAAGTCTCACCTATCTTTCAGAGAGGAATGTAAAAGTGATCCCTGGAAAAACTGATATAACTGCCCAGCAGCAATAGTGGAATGGCTCTGCTTTTTCTTGCCTTGACTTCCCTACTCTTCCTTGCCTTGCTGTTCATGATAGCTGAGTGGTCATCCCCAAGGAGATCTGTTGCCAGTAGGTGGTCTGACAGGTGAAGGAGATCCATGGTGTGTGAGCCACCTTTTGTATAGGCTGTATGAGCTGAAAAGATGAAGAAATTGATCTCCATTGTTCTGTAGGCTAAGCCGGTTTTCTGGTATTGGGGTATTAGGAATTGTTTCTACACCTAGTGAACAAAATTAGTTGAGTAGCTGCACTTTAGACCAAGGGAAATAATTATAACCATCCTTTTGTCAGTACAATGTATGTCATTTAAGGAAATGGTTTAACTGTGTGTAGTTTTTCTTGTTAGGAGACTCATCTCTGTCAGGAATTTTTAGTGTAACCCAACTAACACAGTTCTTGCAGTGCAGATTAGCCATCTATTTTCTGCCTTCGGCTTAGTCTGAAATGAGCCTTGCTCACTTTTAACAGGTATAGGTCAAATGTGACAATGTCCTCTTGGCTGGAGTGACGTTTTTAGTGGAGCTTGACTATAAAGCTATAGCAATATATGTATACTTGCATGTGTTGTTTTCCTTAGAAAAAAAAAAAGAGATTCAAACTGCAGTGGTTCTCAGGTGCATTTTTAATGCCCATGCAGGTGAGGTGTTCCAGATGAAGCAGTTCTCAATGACAGAGCTCCAGGGAAGTGTGAGTATGCATCCAGCAAGCAGAGCTGATGTGAACAGCGCAGCAGAGAGCAGAGATTGACTCTAGACCCATGAGTGCTGTCACCCCAGAAAAACAGGTCTGGAATCGAGTCACAGCCCTCAGCATTCTTTGCTGTTTTACAAATAGCTACTCTTGTGACAACTTCCCAGCAGATCTGCCAAAGAAAATGATGTATAAGTTATCCTTTACCTTATCTGACAGAAAAAGCACAGATAGAAGCAGTTAGCACAGTTGGGATCCTTATAAAGAATGGTCTAGCAAGGCTCCGTATGAACAGACTTTTACCGTTCAATCTTAATTTTTTAAAAAAGGTTAAAATCTCAGAATTCTGGGTATTAGGATTCCTCTCTTGTTTTCCTTGCATATTCTGTATTTATTGCTATTGCATTTTTTTCCCCTCAAATGACCCTTACTAGTTAGACTCATTTTGATGAAGACTCAAACTGTGCAAACTGTAGTGACAATGGTTGTTTTCAGTTACACCGGAGAGCATCAGGTGGGTGAGGTAGGCGAAAGATGAGTGTGTTCTCACAAATAAGGCAGTTTTGTGTTGCTTCTGGAGCTTGAGTCTCATCCTGCCTGTGCCATAAAACTTCCTCCTGGTCAGGCCATATGTACACATGCACAGGCTCCCCAGGGGATCTCTGGCTTGAAGCAGAAACAGGGACTGCAGGCAGGGAGAGTTTCCCATGTACTGTGTTGTCGCAGAGGGCTCTACTCCCTGGTATACTGTGCAGTGAAAGCTCAAATTACATTCTTGGTGAACTCAATTCCCAGCTTGGTTCTCTACATGTAATATAGCAAGAGAATTCTCTATGGAGTTGGCTAATACAAAAACCCCTCATGTGTGGGTGCAGCTTCCAGTGTACACCATGAAAAAAAAATGGATACAAAGTTTTAAAGGTCTGCTAAGGCTTAACTGAAGCTTTTGGGTTTTTTTAAACTATGACCAGCCACTTGGTGGAGTAAACAGGGTCGGGGTCTTGGCAAGAAGTACAGTATGACTTTATGCCTGTGATTTTATGTGCCAGAATGAAGTGATTTACAGTTTCAAAAGTAACTGTGCTTTTTTTGTTTTGAGGTGTTTGTAAGTCTTAAAGTCCTGAGATAGAATACTTCAGATAATCAAGCCTAGACACTTTATGCTTTTAAAGAGCATTTAGAAGTCCTCAAATTACTTTGTTAAAACCACTTTTCTTCATGTTGCAGTTGGTCTGCATATCTACATTTTAGCAATTTAGTTGAAATACTGAAACATTAAATGTGAGATGAATAGGAAGTAATGTCCTTGAGTTGCAAGTATTACCTCAAAGAGGGGGGAGGGAGAAGTCTGAAAAATATTTGCTGGAAAAATTAGAATTAAAATGTAACCTAATTTTCTGTTATTGGAATTAAGTGGTGCTTACTAAGTTTTCCTGCTGCACAAAAGATGTCATGTTCTGTTTCTCAACACTTTGTAAGCTAGGCTACTGATTCAGAACAGTTCTGCAATGACAAGTATTTGTCACCAAGCTGTTCTCACCAATTCACCTGCCTGAGCAGGGCCTCACTGTTCAGACCTTCTCAGTTCAGAGAAGAGGAACTTGAGCTATTCCAGAACCAAGACCTCCAGCCACAATCTGTTCTGATTCCAGTGGAGAAAGCCTACACTTAAGAGCAGCAGCTGCTTCAGAGACACCCATGGCACTGTACTGTAATTTATAGCAAAAGGATGAGTTTGCAGTCAGATGTTTTTGCTAGGTGTGCTTGACTCTATTCTTTTCTCCATTATGACTGTTTGATGTATTCAACAGGAGGCCAGTATTGCACTCAGAAATAATGCTCTTGGGTGAAGAGAGAACAGTAAGGTACTGCAATTGTAGTTGCATTTTTAGCCAGACTTAGTCATCATGGCTTGTTAATGATGCTCCAGAGTCTTTTAACAGAATCTTTAGGTTCTGTTCCTTATTCACTACACTGTACTAAAGTGTATTTGAAACAGGTGATAAAACAGCAGTTGTGTACCAGTTTCTGAAAATACATTTACAAAAAGAAGTTGCTAGGAAAAAAAATCCGTTCATCCTCTCATGAATAAGTAACACTCTGTGGACTAGGAATAGATTAAAAATAAAAAAGAAGAAACTTTTACCTGAGAGGATAATTAAGACATCTCACCTACACTAACTCACTCCTTGCAACTTACACTGATGAAAATCAGATAGTTTCACAGAATTTCTCTGTCCACCTTATGCTTTCTTTATTTTACCATTTTTGCTACAGGTTCCTGTGACCTCTGGGATCAACTAATTCCCCTTCTATATCAGTACTAAATGTAAAAGAAGAATGGAAATAGTACTACCTCTCAATAAATGTATTCCCATTCAAGTATACAAAACACCACTTTCTGATGGAATGGAACATAACATTAAATATATCTGCCACGTACATTAAAATCATGCCAGGAGAGCAAATAGTAATGCCATCTCCACGCTTGGGACAGTGTTGCAGCTCTCCAAGAGTGAGCTGATAAACATGACGGGAAACATAAATCAGAAATACACAAAGCAGCAATTGATTCAGCATAATTTTAACTGTTAACGGAGAAAGCAGTAAAGTTTTTCACAGTCAGCACAGATGAGATTCATCCATAGGTTAAGCCCTAAGATTATTAGTACAGTGGTTGTGAATAATGTTCACAGACTGATTTTTAATTTTTTTTTTATTTGAGCAGAAGATTTAGAGATTTATCAAGAGATACAATTTCATGATTCTTCAGAAGCAGATGATTGGAGTTTTCCAAGCCTTGTGTTCTCTATTGTTTTGTCTGTTTTCTTCTTCCTGTGTTTGTTCTGTCATCAGAAAACTACCCTTGCAAGTTCAAACAGAACCTGTGGAGCAGCAAACAAATTGATATGAATTTTTATTTTATTTAAAAATCTTTAAACCAGTTTACACTATAAATCAGATAATCTGAAAAGTAACTGTAGCTGCTATTTGAAAGTTGGTACAAATATTAATCCCCGTGTACATCACATTAATAACAGTGATCTTAATTCTCAAAGTATGAAGCACAGAAACTGCACTTATGTTCTTAATGTTGAAAAAAGCCCCACCAACCTCTATGGTGATTAGTATTACTATCATCCACTCAAGGCGCAGTGCATGCTTTTCATTCAGGTGATTTCGCATTAGGTCTGTCAGCTCCATGCAGTGCTGAAGCTTTTCATTCATTACCTACAAACCATTACAGACATCACAAATCTGGACTCCAGAAATGGAAGAGATCACTAAATAGGGAAACATACTCCATAGAACTAGAAATGGGTTAACACCTCTGCAAAATACAATAGAAAATTAATAGAACAGAAAATTCTGTACAAGCAACAGAAGCTCCAGTATAAATGAACCTGTTATTTCAATGGGTTCCCCAAAAGAATATAAATTTAGATATGCATGTACAGATATTGAAGTGTTTCTGGGTGATACCTGCTCAAGAAAACAGACATAAGCAAAAGAAGATACAGCTTTCTGGAATGCCTCAAAATCAATTATTTATGATTGCTGTACCACCAGGACAGGTAGTTTTCATGCTGCTTATTTTGGTTCAGCAGTAAACATGTCACCCTTCAAGAACTGATGTGAATGATCATGTCAGTAAGAAGAATCCACTTCTCAGTTCTAACTATTTAAAGCCTAATTTAGTGGCTCAAGAAATACACCATTCATGTGAGGCAGGTTAACCTAAACCAGGTAAAGGTGTGAATGGGCTAATAATACCAGGAAAAGGGGAGAGTGTATAATATCTTATTATTTATTCCCTTTGCAATTAAAGCACATTCACAGAGCAATCTGTGACCCTGCTGAGCAGAAGACAACTGATCTGACCATGGAAGATTCTCACAACAGTAAGACACTCACTCACCTTAACTCTGCGATTAATGTTGAGAAACTGGCAAGTCTTGTCATAAAGCTCTTCCAGTTTTTCTCTATCCCAGTAGAAGTCTGGTGTTATTAGCAGGTCTGAGCTCAGATTAATACGGTGTCTAAAAAGAATGGGTACTACTGTAGCTCAGGCTTCCTCTTGGTGAATATAGGAGCAAATATTTACATGCAGTTAAATGAAATAAGACAATTTTCCTGTAATTCTATATACAATATGAAAAGAATCTCCTTTCATAGTAAAAATACAATTGGAGTGATCATTTAAAATTGGTCACATCTCCTGAAACTTTTCTGGGAATACTCTACTGTTGAACTCCTTTGAACATAAATGACTTTTTCCTTATGCCATCACTGCCTCCTCAACATGTCACCTTCCTTAATTTTTGAAAACTGTAGCGAGGTCCCTGACTATGCTGACAGCTCACTGAAGCAGTACACAAAATTACAATACAGAACTCCTAAATGTCACTGGTACTGCATGCTGGATATGTTAGAGCAGCACACCCCTCAAAATCAGGCAATGGTCTAAGCATCATAAAGGCTAAAAGCTAACCTCTCCTGCCGTCAATGTATTGATAACATAAACCTTTAGGTACCTGGAATGTCACTGTTGATAACTGATCAGTCCTTCAACTACTCCAGCATTTGAAGCAGGAATTGTTTTTTAATTTTACCTTGGAGAGTTTGGAGAAAAGGGATTTTCTCCTTTTTCTATTTTTTTTTTTTTAATGTAATGGTGTAATGGTCTGTATTGTCAAAGGCCAAATTTCACTTGAGGGAGAAAAAACATTAAATACAATGACTCAGCAATGGTTTCTGAGCAAGTCAAGAGAAGAACAGAACTCACAAATGATTTTTAACAACTCTAGGCTGTAGTTAACAGAAATACACCTACCCACCTTTCTCCTGGTATCATTTACATGCTGTAGTATCTACTGCAATTACTAGTTTAAACACGTGTTGCTGGACTCAGGAAGGGAAAAGGGTGTGGTATTTGGTCATTTATCATATACTGCCTGCTTAATGCCTGCAGTTGAAATGCCAGTGTGAGTGGTGAGCCAGTCCCCTTACTAATGTAAAAAGCACACAGACTCCACTCAAAATAAAGAATTCTCCCACTGTGTCTCACCCTGCTCTATTTAGTATGCATTCACCTCTTTGTATCCTGCACAATGTAACTTTTACATTCTGTGTAATGCAATGTCTTAGGTGTAACCAAAGAAGTTACCTTAGTGCGAAGAGTTCTCCAATTTTCTGCATCACATCTGCATGAGAGAGTTTTACCTTCCTTCGTGACTTTAGAATCTGAAAAGTAGGAAGTTCTTCACTGCTTGATCAAGTAACATGTATTAGTAGTTAAGAAGTCCAGAGTTTTACAGCCTGAAGTATCTTAGAATCTAAATGCATACTGTACTTACTAATATTTTAGTTTTGTTTGCTTAGTGCCTTGCTTCTCTGGCTTTCTAAGAATATCACTGTGCAACTGGTTCATCCAGGCTTCTCAAGAAATCACTGAGTATGTCATCAGTAGCTACAGAAATACTGGGGCATTTTCTGTAAGTGATTTCCTGAACAAGAGATTATTTGTTCTTCCTGCTGTTTTTAAAGTCATGACAGTGCTCTTTTACCTTCCCACTCTTCAGCCTTTTTACAGACTTTCTCCTTATAACAATCAATGTATTACCATTTATTTCCTTCATATAAAAGTAATAAAACCAATGTTTTCTCTTTTGAATCCTACAAATCTCAATTTTATATACAACATCATATGGGCTTTTTACTCTAATTACGTCTCATGAAAAACCTTTAAGTAATTCACTCAAACTCATTATATTCAAGTGAAAACACATTATTTTCAGCCCAAGTTAGCACACACTGTGTTTCACCAGGTTTTTAAATGCTGCTTGTCCTGTTACACATACCTTTCACCAGTAGCACAACATGGGAAACATTATTACAATGCAGAACCACACTCCCGGCCCTTTAAAAGCTGATGATGTCTTGTCCAATCACTTTGTAGGTACTCTGAGCTTCTCTATACTGATGGATTTACGACCAAATGTGTTCAACATTAAATTGCTTTTTCCCTATCCTCAGCTACATATGGATTGACCTTTTACAAAACACAGGAGAAAAGAAGGGGAACAAGACCTCACCTCAGGAATTGACTGGATAGATTCCACAAAGTTATCCAGTAATGATTCCCAAATAGCCAGCTTCACTGCAACACAGAGACAAAGCAGAAGACTGTGAGAAGTGCATATGCTTTCAAGTAATTCTAAGTTTAAATCTGCCAACAGGCTACTTCAGGACATGTTGATGCTTACAGACATTACTTGCAGCAAGTTACACTTTGTACTATACAATCATTGTTCATGTACCAATGGGCAGATCTGGGCTGGGCACTGACACAGCTTTGCACACAGATCCAGCTTCACCATGAGCGCAGCTTTCTTCTCCAAGTGATCAGTTCAGATCCTGCAGAGTTTCTGCTTGAGCTCAGAAGTTGTGTTCAAGTGCTCCACTGTATGTGTGAGCCTCCAGAAATTACATTCCAAGGAGGCTGGAGATGATGAACTATGTTGGGGTCAGGCTGATTTAATGTGGTACCTCAAGAGCCTCCATTGCATTTCTAGTGTCCTGCACAGCTCTCATTCTCCATTTGTGCAGTACTGATGCACTGTGCTCCAACCACAAGTTAGCCTGTATCAACACACCACCTGTTCCTGCTGAAGTTCAATCCAAACTTGAGCAATCTCCCATTTTGATTTAGGTGAGTGTACTGTTACTGAAGATACTAATTTCTGTTCTATGGAAGCTTGAATTCAGCACTGACACTGGCAACACAAATTCTGCTATGCCTCAGCCTGAACCTAGTAAAATGTTTCTACAAGATGATAGTTTAACTTGGGTTCTTTAGTCCACAGATTCCCAGACAAGAAAGAAGTAGCAACAGATCAAAAATTAACCCCATTCAATCTGAACAATTTAATCAGGGAAGATTTAATTGTCAAAATGAACTCTTTTGTGGTTGTAATCAATAGTATCATCTGGTTAGGATACTGACAGTAAACCCAATGCTGAGCATTTTGCACACTCATCTTTTGAATACAGAGGCCTAATCCAAGTCACTGACTTAAATTACTTTAAATTTAGCCCCTGAAAAAAACAACAGCCAGTAAGCATTTAATCTGTCACCTGTTATTTGATAGAGGCTGGCTTCTGCTGCTCAGAAATTTGACTAGGGACTATACTTGTATCCTTTATTTTTACTGAACTTCATCTCCTGGGAATAAATCCCTTGCTCCCTTTTAGGAGGCACTACTCTTCCATACAATGCCTTTATGAATAAGAAAACCATAGAGAACAATATGCTTTTTTCTCAACAGCTCTTCCTTCAATAGTCAGGAACCATTTACTTACACTGCACTCCTTGATGAAATGGTGTAGCACTTAAAAATGTGCATTCTGTTTCTCTCCTGTGTAAAGGTGCACTTGCCCAAAATACTACTGGAATTTACCCTAAAGGCAGTAGAGGCAGACAGACCAGACTTCCCTTAAAGGTGTTTTTGAGGGCAGCCTTACTGATGCTGGTTCCTAACTCCCACGCCCTCCATCATTCAAGGTCTGAAGCAGTAGACAGATGTTATTTGCTCAAGCAGCAAGATGACTGGTGAGGTGAGCCTGACTTCTTCACAGTGCCTCCCACTGTCTGCTACCATGGCTAATAAGCCTGCAAACCATTATCTATGACTCTGGTCCACATATGTGTTACTGATACACCTCCCCAGCTGGGAATACCTGCCCTGTATCACTTCTTTAGCTGGCATCTAGCTTTTTCTGTCAGAGGAAATTATGTCAGTATGAATTACCCAAGATTACTGAGAGGTTTCTAATACTGAACTCTACATTCATTGCTATCCTAGGATAGTTCTTAAAGGTGAGGAACAGGATGCTCAGTAGAATGTGTATTTTTTGCAAAGTATGTTTGTTAATGTGCTTTTTTCAGCTTTAAAATGTTTTCCATTGAATAAGGCAATTCCAATTTACAGAAAACACAGTAAAAGCACTGAAAACAAATTCTCTCAATCTGGAGTGCAATCACTCTTTACACAGTTTGTCTAAACAAAGTTTTTTCTAGCCTGTCACTGTACAAGTCCCACTTTTAATGACATTTCACAAAATCTGTAGCATAGACTGCATAGTATGAACAATATTAACTTACCAGAAAGACAAAGAGCATTTGAAAAGGCAAATTTCTGCAGAACAACTTCATCACTATCCAGCTCTGAATTTAACAAGATTTGTCCTTTATGAAGTTTTGACTGACCTCTGTTAAGACAAGATTGAAGCATCCTCATTGATCAAGCCACCAGCATAGGAACATTTAAAGAATACTGGACAGTGCAAGAAAGGCTGGTTGTTTATTTAGATAAGGCATGCCACGTCTGTATGGTATCATCCCCATCCTTGCATTTTACTCATGTTCAACCTGATGATATTCACAACAAATCACTGAAAATTAGTTCCTCAGTCAAATTTTCTAAGTGTAAATGCAAGTGCAGCAAATTGTGATAGTAACTATAGCATTGCTGCATACAGACAGATTGTTCAGAGTAAGTGGGATGCCAGCCTCTCCCCTCTCCTGCTATCTTTCTGTTTTCATTTTCCTCTTTCACTCTTATCAACCTTACTCATTCCCCACTATGATGTTACTTTCCCTAAAACCTCTATTGCATAGGGGGCAAGGAGCAAAGAAAAGGGGACAAAAGACTTGTTCAATTTTTCATGTCAATCTCACTATGAAACACACATAAGCAAAATGAAGCATGTCAAGAATCGCAAATTACTCAACTAAATAGTACATGCAGTTTTGAAATGGTCAGGAAAAACCAAACACCTGTCTCCTTATCAAGTTACTTTAAATAAGCTGAGCATTATTCATTCAGTTCCTAGCATTAAAAGTGTCCTGTCTAGGGGTTGCTTTTGTGTGCTGTTGGAAAATTACAGGTCATATATATAATAATTCTCATTTTGAAATATTTCTGTAGAGATAATTTTCATTCCATGATGAAAAAACATTATTTAACAAGGAAAGATAACCTGCCAGGTTTATAATTACACAATAATCAAGCTGTAACTTTCCTACTAAATTAAGTATATAGAAATTACATCTTTGTATATGAATCTCAAGGACATGGAGAAAGCTTATAGAGCATCCTCTTCAAGATCAAACTCATCTCAATAATGCTTATTAGTTTTTTTGCTGTGACATACATAGTTTCTGTTTGGGATTGCTGAAGAGTTGTGTGGGCAGGGAGCTTCTTATTTACAAGATCTATCATATAAGCAAATCACAAAGGTCACTACCTGCAAGTTTACCAAGACAGAAAACTATAAATCTCAGTCAATAAATATTTCTTTCTTTATTTTACTCATTTGCAAAAAAAGTAAGGACAGGTATATTTTTACTAGCTGAATTACTTTTGCTTGATTTTTTTTTAGGTGTCTGTTAGCTTTTATATACAGAATGCCTCAAGATACTTACTCTCCTATTCTATAGTTCAGCTCTTCATTTTCCCAATGGACCAGTGCAACTTCATATGGCTGAATTTCGTGCTGCTCTAGGACTCGCATAATATTCTTCATCTAAGAAGGAGACAATTGCAGCAATAGTTACCATGCAGTAAACTATCACTCTGCAAAGAATTTGCATGGGGCAGGCTGATGAATGCAACCTTCATGCTGAAGTTATTAACCTAACAATTGAGAGGTGTGCTAAATAATTAAGTTCTTATTAACACAGTTTACTTCTGAAACTAGTTGTGGTTTGAGAAGAATTTGTTGCTATAAACAACCGCAAGGAATCTGGGAAAACGGAAATGTCATTTTATACGTGCACACATGGGACAGGGTAAGGATTAACCACAGCAATAGTAAGGACAACGTGGATGTATTCAGTATTATAACAATGAGCTTACTAGATTTTGGCAGATGTCTGAATGTGGGAATGAATCTTTAGAAGTAGATTAGGTGGTTGCTGCTGATAAAATTGCTAGTTTGCTGCTAAATCAGTAGTTTTGTTTTTGATTGCTGCTGAAATCAGTAGTCTTGTTTCAGCTACCAGAGGTCAGCTGTATTACAGAAACCCTTTACCACTACAAAAATCTGGAAAAACTGTTTCAGCTGCCACATTCATCCCTGTAAGTAGTTAAATGTGCAATTTTACTTGCAGAAGTAATCTCACTGCTCCTTTATTCTCCAGCACACTAAAACCTGATGCAGGAAGAAAGAGCCCTTTTCTCTCACAAAACTTTCTCCTTTTGACACCTAACTTAGGATCTCTCATCCTTCTTCCTTTTTATATGCTACACGGCTCCCCTCAAAAAAATCATCTGTAATTAGAACAAATTCTGAACTAAAAAAACCCACTCACCTCTAAGTTTTTAAAAGGCATTTAGCTACACAACAGCTAATAAAAAACCAAACCAGAAAACCACAAAACACTTTTGATGCCTAAATTCTTTAGAGCTCAATCTTCTACTAAGTCATACTTAAAAGCACTCTCTTTTTAAAATAAAAGATCATAGTTCATCATTTATCACAAAACTGTACCCTATAAATCTTTCATAAAGCATATTTTCCAGGTTAAGTACTCTAAAAAAATCTGTTGGATCACCAGCAAGAGAGATTTTCTTTGCACTGCTAGCTTTCTTCATTGCTTTCAAGAATTTAGGTGATACTATCTATGTAACATTTTTCACTGAAAAAAAACCCCTCAACTGTACTGCTGAAACTGCTCCTTTCATAATCCTGAATTCAATATTAGCATGACTAAGACTTGCCATATAATTCAAGTCTTGTGAAAAAAAAGGGTATGAAAACATATGAAGCGTCTGCTCTGAGGCCAGTCACCTCAGCCAAACAGCAGTGTCCAGGGACAGTTCAGCAGTGCAAACCCCACATTGCTTCTAGGCCCAGCCTAATTTTATAGAAGGGACTAGTTGTGATACAGTAAAACTAATCAGAAGAGATGTTCTGGAGTCACTAGCTACAAACTCTTGCTATTACAGGCACTTACGTCAGAGTTTCCTTTTAAAAAACCTCAGAGCTGGTTTTTCTTTTTGCCCTTGCTATTCTGGGAAGGAAGCTGCTGTACAACCTTCCTACTCAGGTATTTGAAATTGCTATTTTGTATTTTAAGTCACTTTTTGTGATCAGTCTGTATTTGTTACTTCTTTTGTTAAACGTCTGTTAATTTAAAATAGTTTTTTTCTCCTACTAGTCATTCTGGGGTACTTTGGCCATTTGCAGTGACACTCTACATTCTGTTTTACTGAATTGCTTTCAGTTTCTGTTCTACAGACCAGTTTGGGGCTTTTCCTCTTTCATCTCAGTTCATTAAAGCATGTCCATAAAAATACTTCCTGTATTTGAGCAAGTTGTTTGGCAGTTAAAGCTTTGACTATGATTTTTATAAACAAAAAGAGGCATTTTTCCTCCTTATTTTACAAATACAGCTAGCAAGTGACCAACTACTGATACTAGTATTGACCAGGAAAAACAAGGTATCAAATTTTCAAAGGTATTTGAGCTTGTACAACAAAAGGAGAGTTTTCAGAGTACTCCTGGGCTAAGGTGTTCAACTCAAACATCATCAGGAATTAAAGCAGATGGTCTTCAGTAGTACTTGTGAATAAGTAGTGTAGTTACAGCCAAACAGGCAAGGTTGGAAGGGAGAACTGGTATCTTTTTGTAGGACACCTGATTCACTGACACCCCCCAAAACATACAGGAAATCAGGAACATTTCAGTTCTGAAACAGAAGAAGTGAACTTGAATCCAGAAATTGTTCACATCTGGAAACAACTGCTCTGAGTTTTCATTTACCCCAATGAAAATCCTCCTGTGAAATTCTATGCATCTCAATATCATCTATTTAATGCACCATTTAATTTCATATAGTCTGTCTACAGATAAGGTCAATACTTTTTGTATCTAGAATCCAGTTTAACCACAGTAATAAAAATACATTTAAAACATTAAATGTATTTAATGTATTAAATGTATAAATGTATTCATTAGAATAGATATGCTTCTGACATACCCCTCTAGGTCAGCAAAGATCACCACAATATAACATGTCAGTAACATATTTAATGATTATATCAACCATAAAAAAATTCCTTCAGAAAAATTGCTGACTGGTAAAAACACAGAACAGTATTAATGAGTTGCTTATAATTTTTTTTTTCTTTCAAAGTTGTACAAACATAAGTCTTTAATAACTGACTTAAATGGAACAGAATGGAATAATCCTTTTCTTCTAACATATTTTCTGTTATATTAGTGCTTTTCAAACAACCATTCATAGGTAGATTTTTCTGATCTACTTTTTCAGGATGTAGAACTTCAAGAATATTCTTTTTGTCAGTCTCACTAAATTAAGGTTTCAGATTTTTGTCTTAAGTAGGTGAATTTCAAAGGTGAAGAATCAGCAGCCCACACACTTGAGGGCAGTAGCAGGCAAGAACCTTGCACTCATCGGAGAAGAATCAGTTTCTTTCCTTCATAGAAAGAACAGTCTCCCAGAGAAACCTCTAGCATGCTGAGCTTTGCGAGACTGACAAAACACCTGCTTATGCAGTTTTAACCAAGTTTCACTTTACTTACACTTTTCTCTTCCACATTCCAAAATACAACAGCCCCTTCCCTGTGAATTCAAGGAAAAACTGAGTGTAATCACTGTTTTAAATGTATTTTAAAGGAATACTCAAATTGTACAGTGGCAATTTTTGTCATTTTGACTCAAAAAACGTAAAACTATCTTCACAGAAATTATACACTATTTGCTTTTAAACCATACTTCAGTGAAAAACCGTGAGAAGGTGTTTTTCAACCATTTAAATAATTCTGATTTTTTTTTTTTCATCATTCTGACTAGACAGTTATTCCTTGAGTTTCATGAGGTAATACAATGCAAGATCAAGCAAGCTGCGCTACTTCCTTCATACCATTACTATTAATGACATGATGTTTTGAGCATGATTTATACCTTACCTGAAGAAAAAAATCATGCCGGGATCATCTTCTTTTGCAGATTTTGCAGTACTGACCACCAAAACATTTGCAGCATCTGGTTTAAAATAAGTGAAAAAATTGAATATTTAGTCAAATTTCTAAACATGACAGCTGCATACTAACACATCAGCCAGTTCCACATTTCATGAGAAAACTGGTGCAGACATTGTAAATAACCAGGAACAGAATACAGAAGTGGACATACAATGTAAGAGAACTGTGGAAGTTTTGCACAGTTGCAGAGAAATTACCAGCCATAGAGCTTGCCTGGAAGCTCTTATTTTCTATATACTAAAGGATTAATCTGCACTCAAATTGTGCTGACTTTGCCAGTCAGAAACTTGAAAGAGTGTACCTTCAAGACAGGAGAGCCTACACCTGCATTTCCCTGCACATCAGAAGTGTGCTTTTGAAACAAATCTTCCACCCACTCACTCTCCCTTACCACACTGGCTGTGCACTGCACAACAGTACATAAAATGTGAGGACTTTTGCATTAAATTAGAATGAAAGAGAAGCTAAAAAAAATGCTCTTGTGGTACTCCAGCCACTAAAGGGGGCATATGTTACAGAGGATTAGACCAGAGCTAGTCCAAGTAGAATATACCCAAACTTACAAAATGTTCAAGTTTTGTTTGGTTCTCAAAGTTTTTAAGTATTTCTGGGTTCTCAAAACAGGGGTTCGATTTTTCTTCTACAAATCTTCTCCACTGTGCCACTCACTAATACAGATAAAATTTTAGAATTCCTGATGTGGTTTCAAACCAGCTGACTCATTTTGTTGCAGCATTAGTGGAAGCTAGACCAGAAAAGCCCCCTACTTCTATTTAAAACAAGACTTCAGAAAGATCTTGCAGGGCCTAACAGCTAAGCCTTAAAAATTTAAATGCCTTTTTATGAAAATCACAAGTCAAGTGATGGGGTATCAAATGTTGTTACTTCTGCTTGTGTACAAATTCTACCTTCTGCTTTACAGCTCAGGCCATAGAGGCCAGGTAGACTGAGGCAGCAGAGAGACATGACCAAGTACCAGATACACTTTTGCCAATATCTGAATTGGGACCAGACAATTGGCCTGAATGAGCCCTTAAAGACTTTCCTCCCACTTGCTAGTCCAGTTTAGAAACACATCGTTGGGTGAATAACTAGAGCAATTTTAGGTGTGAAATTTGAGTTCATCATTGAAGTAACATTTGTCTACATTTTCTCATTTGCCTTTTCAAATACCAGCCATATCTTTATTTATCCACTCCAGCCAAAACACACACAGTTGAAGAGAATTTGGTCTACTTTAAGTGGAGGTGCAGGATCTGCATCTAAAATGTTTTTAAAGAGGTCAAAACCAAGAATAATGCTTTGGAAAAACACTACAAAGCAACAAACTCACACCGTAACTGCTGTTTTAGATTTCTATGCAGAAATATTTTTAAAAATTATCTTTCCAAATTCAGTGTTTGGCTTGGTAACCAACCACTGCTAAATGCACATGCCAACCATCACAACACTTCAGATCTGCCAGCACAATCCAATATCCTTTCATCATTACTTCCTCCAAACCTTTGATAAACAGTACTCATTATGAGTCAAAAACACCATGAAGAAATAAAAGGAATTGGCAAAACCGACACTCCCAGGGTAAAATAACATCAACAGTAATGTTTAACATTTAATTCATGGTCATGCTGGGGGTTGTACAAAGTTTCTATGCCAAAGCTGTGAAACCAGGGTTAGTTTAAATACAATGAAACTACAAAAGAACATGAAGACTATATTCTAGTGGGTATTGTCTTTCATGTTCATCTTTCTGAATAAGACAATCATTAGTAAATCTTGTGCTTGAAAGAGAGCCACTGGAGCATTACTGCACTTAGATTATTACTTCAGAGGCAGACAGGCTTTTGATAACCCCTACTGAAATGCCCATGAACTGCCAGTGCTTCTCCTAGTTTCATATAATCTGCTCTTTCAAAAGGCATTCTACTACTGACATGAAAATCACAGCTGTTCCAGGGCATAAGGTTCCTTAAGCTATAATAAGATCAATTTGTTTTTCTTTTGTAGTACACTGTGGCTATCTCCAAGCCATACTTTCTCCTATCTGCAGAGAGACTTCATACAGAAACCAGAATCAATTATTATGCTAAAGCCTACTTAAGTGTAGCATTCAGCAATTGCTAGGATATACTTGGCCTGATAAATAAGAAGTATCAACAGCATGCTCTTTACTAGAACTGAAAACTTATGTGTCTTTTTCATTTCACTTAGCAAGATTCTATTTTGCATGCCTTCCTCTCCAACTCTGTGACTTACATTAACAGAAATCTAGGTACAGAAAGAAGATGCAGCACTTCAAACTACAGAATTGCTTTAACAGCTGATGTACTGCACTACCTCACTACTGAAAGATTAAAATAAAACATTCAAAAACTAACACTCAGTGAACATCTGTAGAAATTCTCGGTATCAGTCAATTCCCCAAGTTATTTTTCATTTTTTCATGCATGCATATAATTTTTCTATACTTCTAATGTAATTGTATTGTTGGGAAAACTTATCATAAGGTAAGAGCAAGAGCTGCTCACGATTGTTATTCTGAAAGGTTTTGTTGTAGGGACTTTTAGGCAAATAGAATCTTTAAGCAAAGCAATAATTTTAAAGGCAGTATGATATATTCCAGGATATTATCAGAATAAGAATACATAAAGTTACAAAAATTATACCCCTCACCCATATTTTATTTCCCAAGATATAACATTGCATTTAATATTTTTCAAAAATCTACCTCTAGGCAAACTCGTTATTTCAACATATCCATGTGAAGTCAGGTCATGACACAGATTACCAAGATGATATTCATCTGCTGTTGCAAAGGCTGTGCACTGCATCAGATTCTGTGCCAAAGGAATAGAGATTTCAGTTAGGGCATGGCAGAAGCAAGATAGTAATAAGACAACTGTTTGCTTCAAATTTATTAAGAGAGTGACAATTTTCATTTATGCATTGTTCTGTGATTTCCACCTGGTGGAAATCCTGATGATTTCCACCTGGTGTACATATACTAACAAGAGTACTTGCTCCTTGTTAAGTGGGAAAGCAAATCACACACTGAGAATAAATCAGGTGGCAAGAGTGAAGTCACAACAAAAAACTCTATGGCAGAGCCACAAAGACAACCCTTCTTTCCTGAAAGCCAATCAAATACTTGAACAGTAGAGCTGCACTTGCTGCTACTCTCCCATCCCATGGCTTACTACATACTTGGCTGACCACTGAAACCAGAGGCAGGACACCCCTGATAGCAGTTAAAACACCGTGTTTTAAAGATAAATGTCGTTTGACTACCCCAGTCTGTTTATCAAGCAGAAGCTCCAACCACAAACATCGTGTTCTGCCATGCACCAAGCTACTGCCAGGGCTGAGCCACTGCAGCACAGTCACGGACCTGCCAGGCCAGCTGCAGGCGCTGCACATCTACACTGCCCCTCCGCCCTGAGCTGCATCCTGCACTAACGGGGTCTCCCCTGACACCACAGAGGAACAGTACACATGGCCAGTTTGTCCCGGTATCCCACAATCTTAAACAACTAAAATGTCATTTTCAGAGAAGAAAATGGAAAAATGATGCTGACTTGCAAGGAGATGTGAGATTTTCTTGGTTAATCAAACAAGTCACAATAAACTGATTTGCAAATTCTACTACTCATCTGAAGTGTATTTCTTCTGATACCATGTATGAGCTACAAAATTGTTTTTCAGTACAATGTAGTGGAAAATATCCAGAAAGCAATGTCTCAGTGTGGATCAGTCACTTCCCAGCTTTTTGTAACTAATACAAATGGGGATGTAACTAACAACAAATGAACAAAAGAACTGTGCTCATCTGCAGGCATTTAGGCCCACAAAACACTCAAACCAAAAAATCTAAGTCACATTCTTGCAACACTCATACACTGTCAAATATCAAGGCTTCAAGAGGGGATCTACTCCCTGCAGGGGGGCTGTCACCAATCATTGAATCACCACCTCACATTTGAACTTTTCGTTTTTAATACCAACGTTCTACTATCACATCCAAAGCTTTGCTTACACAAAATCTTAATTCAGCAACCACTAGGAGAAAATAAGCTTTCAAAGTAATTATAATATTCAGAGAGCACTTTTGTAGGCATATTCCCACAACTGTGCTAAAAGGTTGAATTAACAGTGGAACAGAACTCCACTTTCAGTTCCCTTGAAGTATCACATTTCATTATCACAATTTCAACTGCATAAATCCATTTTCAATCGCTAAATCACCGGTGCCAATTATACATCTGAATCTGAAGATTCTTCCAAAAATCTCCTTTTGGTTAAGTACACATGCTCTGCTGTGAAGCTCTTCTGTCAAGAGTTAAAGGAACAAATTCTCATCTTGCAGTTAGTATACAATCTGAAAACCTTTATCTTGCTCTGTGTTTCCCTTAGTTTATTACTTAATTCTTCATTTCAAGGCACTACAGGATTGACTTTTTGTCTTACAGCTGCAATTTTAGTTCCAATGGCTACATTTCTCATTTAGTTACTACCAGAGGTTTTCCACTAAGCTACATACCTGAAACAGCATTTTGGGTATGAACTACTTTTGGGTTTGGGGATTGTTTTTTACAATGTACTGTTTCACTTACATATTTACAAAAATCTTGTTTGACAGAGAACATTTGGTTTAGGCATAATTTCTGATTAAGACACCTAAAATACATGTCCACGGGTGCTGGTGGAGATACAGGCAAAAAAAATCTACTCTAATCAGTGACTCAATCCTAAAAGATTAAATGTTAAATGGCTGATCAACCTTAATGCCATGTTTTCTACTACATCACTTTCATCTGCAAACTTCAAAAACCCAAGAATACAGCACCTGTACTGGTGCTAGAAAGGAACTCGGGCTATTCACCCTCATTTCTGCCTACAGCATTATTGAGATTCTATTCAGAGCAGCACACAGGATGGCTACTCCTAAGGACAGCTAAGTATCCTGACAACTCATTTTTAGTATCATCAAGCCCTCATCAACTGTACAGGCTCATGGAATCATACCTCCCCTTAGTCCATCTCTTCCACTTTTAGCATACAAAAATTTTTAAGAAAGAAAACTGTAGGATGAACTTCAGTCCTCGTATCACAGTAATCAATCTTTGTCTAAAGTGTAGTAAATACTATACCTATGCCTGAATTTCAAACTACTTCTATGCTAGATAATATGCTGTAGCATAAATGCTAAGAGTTAGCTCAGAGGCTTTTCCTGCCATCAGATTGTACCAGGTTATGCAGGCAGTGGTACCACTCACTGATGGACTGACTAAACCACTTAACTGCTTCCAAGGAAATCCTCTATGTATCCTGAAAAATTGGTTGTATGATTTATCACTGCTGGTGCCCTGCGCTCTGCCTGTAAAAACACATGAAGACCAGTGCGGGGGAGGATGGGAAGGACCTCACTCACCAACTGCTCTGCAAAAGAAAGGTGTCAGCTATCAAGCCCTCCCAGAGAGAAACCACCAAAGATCCTCAGGGTTCTCAAACCGAGAACCTCAGGAATGGACCTGCAACTGCTGTTTCCAAAGGCAGGAAAAGATGGGAGGGAGATGTCCCTAAGGCAATGGCCTTGAGGCTTGCTACACTAGAGGTAATTTCTGGCGCAGCATTTTACCATGCAAAAGCCTCCTCAGGAAGTATATTATTATTTCAGTGCATCAGGCAGTATTTTCTCCATTTCTCCATTCACAACAGAAAAAATTAAAAATAGCACTGCATGTTACTTGCACATATATATGAAAATGTCGTACAAAGAAACTGCATTCTATGCTGTCATTTAAAGGCCTCAAAAATGTTGTCACTTCACCCAAAACCAAGAAGAATCAAACTCTGAATGTAATGTTATACTGTAACTAAAATGCTGGAAACATTACACACTGTTTCAGGACTAATATTTTTCATTTTTCTCTTTCAAAGCAACATGAAAATATGAGTGGTACCTAAATTGTTTATAACTACTTCTTTATGTTACACTATGGCATGCACCTGCTTACCACACAAAATACTCATCATAAGCCTAGATATGAGAAGGCAAGCACTAAAAATTTTCTCTGCTCACATTTAGTAGATCATGTAACAGGTATATTTTGCAATATGGAAACTATTTCTGAAGACACAGTGCTTGTTTTAGTCTCACCTATCATACTGCTTTAGTAACAACATGGTTGTTTTGGCCTGACAAGAACAGTAACACATCTGACACCAGGATTCACCATGGAAATTCTATATTGAAGTGTACTAAAGGCCTGGCTTGGTTAAGAGATATCTTAACAAGATATGGCTAAAAATATGCACTGTTCTTCCTCACTGTAACTAAAACAGTGTGTTGTTGCATTTCCCTTGTACACTCAGAGTCTGATAATCAAGGTGCTATTTCTACACATGGAATGATCTTTCTCAGGTAACACAGGCTACACTTGCACATTCATTTCCCATCTGAATATAAGCTTTATACTATTTTACTTCAATTTATGTTTCTGTTTGAGTCAAACCTTAAAACTGGGTAGGTCTGGATAAACAAGGAAATGTAGAGCAAGTTAAATTATTCTGACAGCTAGGCTTTTTTTCTCAATAGAAAATGTAATATGAAAGCACTGGTCAAAACTGTTTGTAATGCAACTCACCTTTTCACTTTATAATAACCACTCATCTTCACTTTTGTTAACACATTGCAAATAAGCTTCCATTTTCCTTCAAAATGCCAGACATGCCAATTTCTATCAAGCTTGCTTCTATTTGCAAAGCTCCAACACTAGTGCAAATAATTAAGTCCTTCTCACCAAGTAATTATGTTAATTTCATTAAAATGTTCATCGAAACCCAAATCTGAATGCAAATTAAACTGATGCACTCCCTTAGTGTCACATAGACTATAAATGTTATACCTCACCTCCATGTCTGAGAGTGGCAGGTTCGTTCTGGATGGCTGCTTGGTCCTTGGTGCCTTTGGTGGCCTCTTAACTGGCTGGTTATTGGGTTTGGGGACAGTTTTACCAGCTGATACAACTGCATAAAATCTTGATGATGTGTTCCTAAGCTTTTTGATCCACTCTGTATTGAGCCTGTAGTTTTCCATCATTGTCACACCCAAATGTCTCCAGGATAAGAAAAAACCCTCCCCACTCTGATAATAAACACTTCTTTCCAAAGTGGACAGAAATCCTTTGAGAAAATGCCAATTCCTGACTTGCACACATTGACTTGTCAACCAAGGGAACGCAGGTTTCAGTGCATACAAATCCCAAGACTTTGCTGTTCTGTGAGCTGTTCTTTCAACTTCATTATCCAGCTTTAATAGTAGATATCCAGTTTTGTTAAAGCTTTGGCATTGGCATAATGTTGTTAAAGCGTGGAAAGATCTCATCTGAAGGTGCAGAAGTTTCCGTCTCATTTCTTTCCTCTGAACTGCATTTAAAAAAAACACAAATAAAATCATCCATCAACATTTTGGGAATAAATACTATTATTTCCCTCTTATCTAAAAGGTGGTCCATACTACTCTTGCATGTGTTAGTACTCCTCAGCACATGACATTGGTGGGAATAAAAAGATTTTTTTGATCCTATGGAAACACTCTAAGATCAAGCCACAACTATGTGGTCGCAACAAGTGGTGAAAAAATAGAACTGGTTGCTGTGTCAATATGCAAGAGGGCATCTTTTCCTTTGGCTGCTCATTCTGTGCAGCAGCCTGCACTTTCAGTAATCCCACTGCTTATGAGCAAGCAAGCATACACGATAAAGAGGACATCAGACGCTGTGAATCATTGTGATATATAATAAAAGCAACCATTAGATTACTACATGATTGTATGGGAATGTCACCTGCAACACACACACACAGCTCTGCATCAGCTCAGCTGCGGTGCCATGGACAGCTGAGCACAGTTCCAGCCCCAGCCATCTGTCCTGACCACGGCGAGAATGGAGCCGACTCACAGCCTTGCTCCTGCCAGTACATCCTGGTGCTACAGGAACCAGCAGGCCTGCCTGCAGAGCCACCGTGCAGCCTGAAACACAACAGCGTCCTTATGCTGGCAGCTCAGACTAAGAGCAACCTTTCTATACTTACACTACATTGTGTGAGCTAATAAAATAAAAATATTCACAGACTCAATACCACAGTGGATGTGTTTCATTTGCTGAAAAAACCTCAGTGACAAGTTCTCTAGCCTCATCTGGTTTTCTTAAGAACATTTTCCTTATGACACAAAATCCATCCTCAGCAAGTTATTAACAAAAAGACATTAAGCTGCCTAGTTCAAAAACCTGCCCATTTTAGAATATCTTTCAAAAGCTGAGGAGTATTTTTAGTATTTTTAATACTAAAAATACATTTAACATAATAATGCAAGTAAACGTTTTATTTAAAGAGCAAATCATAGCATGTGCTGTAGAACAAGCACCCTGTACATCCTTACAAGGATACCTAGGTGAACTGATACTGCGCTTAACTTTGTATCTTTACATGCTCTTCACTCATACATTTTTGCTCAATTTAAAAGCCTGTTGTTGGCATACTTACTGAGATAAACTATTATTTTAATTTTAAACTTGTTCTGTATTTAAAAAGCAACCCTGTCCAGGACAAGTCATATTCACCTTTTTAAAGGCCTGGTATCTCCTGGATAAACAAAAGAGCTGAGAGAAATTCAGCAACTGCAACTCAGGTGCTGGAGAGCTGGGGCAAGGGGTAAAGTCTTCAGCAATGTGTGCTAAGTGGCAGAAAGAGACTCAAAATGGTTTTGCTGGCGTTCCTAGCCAACAAAACCTCATCCCGGATCAGTAATGCTAGGAATGACTTCTCAACTCTACAGGCTTACAAGTAAGTTGCAAGGGAAGAGAGATTATATCGACTGAATTCCATGGAGGGCCTGAGCGTCAGATCTGCGGCACCAGTGGCACCAGGCCAGCAGGGGCGGAACACAGCAATCCAAGAAACCGGGACGAAAGGCGACCACAGCAGGGCAGGAGGCGCCACTCCGAGCAGCAGGCAGGGAACGGGGATTTATTTTCCATCGTCTCTTCAGCCTACGGCACTTTAGCCACGCCCGCTGTTTTCCCAGCCAGAAGGCCCGGCTTGCTGCGGCACAGCCACCGATATCTACGGCTAGGGCGGGCCCGCTCCGCCGGCGGGCTGACCGGACCGGCACAGACCAGCCCACGCAGTCCGGACGCCTCCAGCCTGCCCCGGGGCCCGCCAGCCCCGGCTGCCGGGACACTCCGCCCCTTCCCTCCCCCGCCCCGCCGCCCTCAGCTCCAGGGAAAGCAGCGGCCGGCCCGCCCCTGCGGCAGCGCGGGGGGCGGGAGCAGCGGAGCGAGGGCTCCGCTCCCATTGGCTGCGCGCCGGAGGGGGCGGGCACAGCGGGCAGCGAGCCCACCAATGGGAAGGCGAGGCCGCCCCGCCCGCGGGCACCGAGCGAGGCCGCGGGGGCCGCCCCCGCCCCGCGCGCCTCACGGGCGCCCCTGGCGGGCGCGGAAGGCAGCGCCGCCAGCGCGCGGGGGGCCCGGCCCCCCCACCCCCGGTCCGCGGCCTCCGCCGCTGCTGCGTCAGCCCCGCGCAGCGACCTCAACACGGCGGCGGGAGGCGGCCGCCCGGCAGCCGCCCCGCTCCGGCCGCCACAGGGGCATTCCGGGCTGGGGGGAGGCAAGGGGCTGGGATTCGCCCCTCACACCCGCGGGCAGGGCTCGTGATCGCCCCGAAACTGTGCCCTCCTCGCGAGGAACGTGGCGGGGCCCTCCCCGCCGCGGCAGGTCCGGAGCCGGCGGGAAGGGCGGGAGAGGCCGCCTCGGCTCGCCCACACCCCTCCCGCGGGCGCTGCGGCAGGCCCCGCCGCCCCGGGATTGCCCCGGGAGGGGCTGCGCACCCCTCCCCCGCCGCAGCTCCGGCCGGCGCGCAGGGCCGCCAAGGGCGCCCGCTGCGCCGCCGGCCCGGCCCGGCCCTCCTACCCCTCCCTGCCCCCGCCCCGCGCGCGCGCCCGCCGCCGCCGCCGCGGCGGGAGGGGCGAGGCGGTTCCCGCCGCCGCCGCGCGCCAGCACTGACCTGGGGGAGGGGGCGCGCCGCTCTCCGCCGCGCGAGCCGCGGCCCCGCCCACCGCCCGCCGGGCCCCGCCAGGGCGCGCGGGCCGACACGCCCCGCCCGTCCGTCGCCGCGCGGCGGGGCGCGGCCCGCGCGCCAATAACGTCCGGCCGCCGCTCGGGCCCGCTTCCGGGAGGGGGCAGGGGGAGGGCGGTGCGCCTCCTCGCGGGGGGGCGGAGCAAGATGGCGGCGGCGCCGGCGCTCCCGGTGTCCCTGTCGGGCAGGTTTAAGGGGTCCGTCACGGCCTGGCGCGCTTGTTACCGGCAGCGAAACGGGGGGCGGGAGGGAGCTGAGGGGCCGTCCGGCGCCCCGCCGCCGGAGAGCGGAGGTTTTCGGGCGCCGGGCGGGGCCGGGGGGCGGCTCTTGGCCCGGGGGGGCAGGCGGGGACAGCGGCGCGGCGGCGCGCGGGGCCCGTAGGCGGCGCTGCGGGCGCGGCGCTGCCGCCGCCGCGGTCTCCGGCCCGGCCTGGCCGTGGGGCGGTGCCAGCGCCGGCGCCGCGCTCCCCGCGCCGCGCTCCCGGTGCGGCCGCTCGGCTCTGCGCCTCCAGCCCAAGGGTAGAAATCTCAGAGCGAATGAATCTCGCCAGGCCGGTGTGCGCTCTCTGCGCGGCCGGCCGCGTTCTGCTCCTTGTCCTCGTGCATAAACTGCGTTTGGAGAAAATGTAAATCGAGTATATAATGGAGAGTGCGTTTCTTGTTGATGAGATACGTAGAAAAATTTGAGGAGATACCTGTACTTTTAGTTTTACATCTACTAGGTTTTGCATCTGGGTATCTTAGCAATAGGGGTCGCGTTTTAGCTTAGAATTAACTGCAATTTTTTGCTGTTTCGTCAGGGCCAGTCATTTAGCTTTTTCTTCCTTGAGCAGGTTGCTGTTTATAATCTTCTGCAAAAGTAGGCGAAAGAATCCGACCAGTTTGAAATTTTTTCCGTTTTATTTTTTTTCCTTTCCACTGCTTTAAGGGCATGTCAAGCTACTTTTAATACTGTTGTGTTATAACCCCAGCTGGCAGCAAAGCATCGTATAGCTCAGCGGGGTGGGGAGAAGTGAGTGAGAAAGGTGAAAATGAGGAAACTTGTGGGTTGAGAGCAGTTTAATAATTGGAGTGAGAATAAATCATAATGAAAAGAGCAAAGAGAAATACAACCCAAGAAAACCAAGTAAGACATCTGAAAGCATTTGCTCACCATGAACTTACTGATGCCTAGGCAGTGGCTCCCTGTCCAACTTTTCCTCCTGGTTTCCACTGCTGAGCATGACACCATATGGTCTGGAATAGCCTCTGGGTCAGTAAGGGTCAGCTGTCCTGGCTGTGTCCCCTCCCAACGCCCTGTGCACCCCCAGTTTTCTTGCTAGTGGGGTGGGGTAAAGCAGAAAAGATCTTGACTCTGCAATCCCTGCTCAGCAATAAGGAAAACTTCCTTGTGTTGTCAACAATGTCTCCAGCACAAGTCTAAAACACAACCCCCATACCAGCTACTGTGAAGAAGATCAACTCTACCCCAGCCCAAAGTAGCGCAAAGATCTTGCATTTCTTTTAAAAATTGAAGCCATTTTATCCTTTGCTGACAATAATAAAATATTGATCCTCTCTTTTTTAGATCCTTTGCATATTTTACAATCAAAGATAGACTTCCCCAGATTCTCACAAGAGTTATTGATACTTTGCATCGACATAAAAATGAATTTTTTGAAGAACATGGTGAGGTAAGAGTCATCATCATAATCATCATTTTCCCTGATGTTTATTTCCTTCTAGCCTTTGAGACCCTTTCTTTGCCTTGTTTTTACTGATAAGGCTTGTCTCAATCCTTTTGCCTGATATTTTTTAAAAATAATTCTTTCTACTAGCTATTTTTGATTAGTTCTGTAACACACCTTTCTGTCCAACCTTTTCCTTCTGATCTATCACTTACGCAACTGCATCACTTACTTTGGTTTTTGTGTTGATGCAGTGTTTGACAGACAGTAACACCTTCTGAACAAGACTGTGTTTCAACACTCTCTTCTCCTCTAATAAGCAAGAAGTCCAATCTAAAAAGAAGTCCCATATGGAATTAATTTTAGATCTTGGATCTGAAATGAGCTTTATTCACCAAAATATATTTTGTTGAATCAAGCTGTGATTTGTCAGGGACTCTCATGGCAATTAAAACTTTGCACATTCCATGAACAGTTGATCTGTGTCTCTACAGGAATGAAGGTACAGAATAGGAACTTTTGTTCTCCACTTTTTTCAGAAGGGTGTTGAAGCAGAGAAGAGGGCTATATCTTTCCTCTCCAAACTGCGGAATGAACTGCAAACAGACAAGCCAGTGACCCCTTTGGAAGATGAGTTGCCCGATGCAGCACTGTGGAACCAATACCTGGACTACCAACGAAATTTACCAAATGGAAATGGAGAACCAAGTTGGTTTCAGTCCCCTTGGCTGTATGTAGAGTGTTACATGTATCGAAGAATTCATGCAGCATTAGCACAGAAGTAAGTATTTACTGGCTTGCTATATTACTTTGCAAAGCATTGCTCTTTCCCATTTTTATTTTGGGAAAAAGAAAGACAGCTGAGGAGTAAGATAAAGGAAGATCTTAAGCTTTTGCCATATTACTTTTTCCTCAGCTTGCACATCAGATTTAAAATTAATACTTTCTCATATTTAGTAGAATTTGAATCTTATTAATTATTTTATGCTTCAGTTTTGGTGAGTTGGTCTACATGAAAACTCTTGAGCTTGATTTTGCAGACTAATGTAAATTGAGATATGAAAACCATGTAGCATTTCTACAAGGTTTGTTGGTCTAGAATTTTCTTTTAAGTGTTAAACACGGCATATGAGAGCCACAAATCTTTCGGGAGTTCTAATTTGTTTTGCTGCTTGGCAATCTGAAGTTACCATTTGAGAACTGTTTCTTACAGCAGTAGACCCATCTTAAGCAGCTCCTGTTGTTCATTCTATACCAGCTTCTTAGTTACAGCAGTGCTTGCAGACCATGTGTTGCATCAAACTTTGGGAGCTGATACTGGTTAAAAATAACTGGGCAGGAAAAACTTGTTGTGCTGGTACCACGGAGATGTGCCAGTACAACGTCATGGGGTAGGAATTAACAGTTTAAGATCGTGTTGCTGCCAAAAAATTTGAAAGCTCCCCGAGTACAGGTTTACCCTTAGTGTTGAGATGCAAACACAGTAATGGGACTCAGTTTCCACTGGTATGTTGTGTAATTTGAGCTCTTGAACCAAAAGCTTCAAATATGAGGTTCATCCCCTGGATTGCACTTAAAAAGCTGAGCAGATACTTTTAATTTTTAAGTTTCTTGATCTCCATTATTTAGTTGCTCTTAAGCATATGCTTGGATGGAAATTCAATTATTTGTTGAAAGGTTGTCGTGCAAATATGTTTCATAAGAGATTGACCTATTATTTTTATATATTACAGCATTCTCATTTGTCATGGTAATTTTCCAAAATCCTACTAAAGACTTTCATAGAGATAACTTCCTAACTGGAAGAGAATTTGGTATGGGAAGTACCCTCCAGCACACACAAACAGATTTAAAATCAGGCCAGCTTTTCTTAACTTTAGTTCACTTGTATGTTAGTTTTAATTCTCGTCTGAAGATTGTAGCTCAACTGTCTGTGCAGTTCCCAGAGTTGTTGTGATTAAATGCTTGTTCACTTTCAGAATATATTGCTGTATAAAGATGCCTTCCATACTGTCTCTTAGCAAGATGCGTATTAGGCTGTTATGGAGATATGTGAAAATCTAGTATGACAAATTAGAAGTGGAAAATCTAACTGTCCTGTAGTACAGTCTAAAGTAGCTGACCTTTGAGCTTCCTTTGCATGTGCTGTAATGAAGAATGTGGGAAGTATGGCAACATATTTGTTCTTCTCTTTTTAGCCCACCTATTGACAACTTTGATGTATTTAAGGAAGGAAAGGCTCAAAATTTCTTTGAATCCCAAGAAGCTGTTATTGCCTTATGCACTTACTTTCAGGAACTTCTTAAGAACATCAAGGATCTAGATGAAAAGCAACTTCAGGAGGAACTTTTTAAGCTATTGCAGGTAAACTGGTAGTGCTTAACCCAAGAATTGAAAATATCTCTCCTATGAAACAAACAAGAATTTGAGGTTATAAAGAATCTGAATTTCATATGGAAATTAAAATTTAGATATTTTGTTTGTTAAAGTATGATGAAGTCCTGATAGCCCTACTGTATAGCTGCTATTCTGGAAATATATTTTGTTTTAAATGTGACACTTTTTTATTAATGGCTGGTCTTCGTTGTGTGTATGAAAACTCAGCAATTTTTCCATCAAAACCAGTATCTCTCAAACATTTTAAGTCAAATTCCAGATTAGCTTTTTGATATTTATGTATAATTTCTTAAAACAGTTAATTTTAGTTGGCACTTTAAATGCTTTTAGACTTCTTTGGAGAAAAAATTAGAAGTCAGTCTGGGTCAGAAGTGGTTTAAAAGCTTTTTAACAGCATTACTCTTGGAATGTAGTGCCTTTGGGTAGAAAATCCAAAGTATTGTAGGATTAGAAATAAGTCCATTAGCTGGCAACATGTATGTCAGGTATTTGATGAATCTTCACAAAGAGCTCATTAGTGACTGCTAAAAATACATATATCTAAAATACTTATTTGGCTGCACATAATAAAAAAAGTAAATCTGCTTTTATTATTCCTTTTTCTGTGTTATCACTGATATTTTTTTGGAATTGCAGTATGGAGTATATTTCTGTTTTGAGCTTTGTAAACAATGTGTTTATGTTGATCTAAATCTCCCATCTTTGCCACTTCTGACACGTGTAAATACAGAGCTTTGTTTGGTTTCTTCCACAAAATCTTGTATATGTTGAGATACCTGGACAAGGAGTTGAGTTTTATTAAAGCTTGGAAGAATATGTGGAATTACAACCTTTATTACCTAAAACAAAAACCAGGGAACAAAATCTTCAGTGTATGTGAAGTTGAGAATGTATCTACAGTACGACTTAGTAAATAGTTTCTTTTCTTTCTT